GAAGAAGGGGAGAAATGACACAACTTTGAAAAGTTAAGGGTTTTTTAAGTAAACTTTTTGAAGAATAATATACAAGCATAAAAGTACTTAACAAATAAAAATATAACTCAATGAGTTTTCACAAAGCTAACATAACTAGCACAGAGACCAAGAAATTGAATAGTACTATTGTAGGTAACCCTTTTCATATTTCAGTCTGTTCATTACATCACCCCAATAACCACTAATTTGACTTCTACCACCATGAATAGGTTTCATCTCTTTTTGAATTTAATAAAAATGGAATTAAATAGTATGCATTATTTTTGGTTTGACTTCTTCCATTCAACATAATATTGTAAGGTGCAGGCATTTATTTGCAAATAGTTGTGGTTTGTTCATGCTCATTACAGAAATAAATTTTATTGTACACATAACTACAATTTATGTCTCCATTTTTTCTAATGAAAATGTAGATTTTTCCAGTTTTAGCTACCATGAATAGTGCCAGTAAAAACATTCTTATGCAAGTGTTCGTGTTAAGATGGGTGTTTTTAAGTTATATTATACATAGAAATATAATTTTGATCATTAACTAAGCAAATATTCAGGTTCAATAAGTAGTGTGAAGTTATCTAAAGTGGCTATTCCAAATCACACCCCAAACATCAGTGAGCTCCAATTATCACACCTTATCACCAGCATTTAATACTGTCTGGTTTTTTTTTTCCATTTTAGTTATTGAGGTTAATGTAGTGGTACTTCAATGTGTGTGTGTTTATGTGTGTGTGTGTGTGTGTGTGTGTGTGTGTGTTTTAATCAATGTAAAATTTAACAGAGTGAAATGTAAACTTCTTAAGTATATAATTCTATGAGTTTTATAAATATATATTCCTAGGCGATCATCATCCTAATCAAGATATAGAACCTTTCCATTACCTCAGAAAGTTCCTCCTTACCTCCTTCCAAACTACCTACCCCCTCTGAAACAGCACTTTTAAAAGTATTCTTTTACCATAGGTTAATTTTACTTATTCCAAAATGCCATTTAAATAAAAACATAAAGCATATTCTCTTTTATACCTAGATATCTTTTCACTCATCATGATTGGAGACACCCATGATGTTGTCTACATCAGTTATTCATTCCTTTTACTACTCAGTAGTGTTCCATTCATAAATATGTTTTATACATTTTCCATTCAGCTGTTTGTAGTCATTTGGGTTCTTCCTTGCTTGGGGATTATGAATAAGCTTCTGTAAATGTTCTTGTACAAGTCATTTTGTGAACAAATGCTTTCATTTTTCTTGTATAATATCTGGGGGTAGAATTGTTGTATCATAAGTATATATCCAACTTTGTAAGAAACTGCAGGACAGTTTTCTAAATAGGTTGTGCCACTTCACATGAGAGCTCAGTAACGCTTCTAGGTGCTCCAAATCCTTGACTACGTTCAGTTTTGTCAGTCTTTTTCAGTTAGTCATTCTTGTAGGAGTAAAAACACATGCCATTGAGGAATTAATTTACATTTCCCTGATGATTAATAATGTTCAGCATATTTTCACATTTTTGTAGTCACTCTTTATTTTCATTAAAGTGTCTGTTCAAGTCTTTTCCCCCTTTTTAATGGAATTGTTTATCTTTGTAATATTGATCTGTGGAGATTCTATGCATATTCTGGGCACAAGATTTGTGTCAGATGAGGTTATTAGAAATATTTTCTCCCTTTTGAATGTGTTAACAGTGTCTTCAGTGAGTAAGAGTTTTAGTTTTTAGTTTGAGTTCTAAATTTTGTTCTAAATTCCAGTTTGTTTTTTAAGGAGTATGCCTTTTACATGTTATGAGCAAAGTCCTTGATCACGCCCATGGTCAACAAGATATTATTCCTTTTTTCTTTTAGAAGCATTACAGTTCTAACTCTTACATGTAAGTTTAGGGCACATATTATGATTTGATTTTGTGTAATGTATGAGATAATGAAGTTAGTATTTTTCACTTTATAGTTACTTTAGCACTATTTGTTGGAAAGACCTTCAAAATCCCACTGAATTCTAGGATATCTTTGTTAAAATCAGTTGTCTACTTAAATGTGAGGTGTTGGAGCCTGGATGAAATGAGGAAAGTGTAAGTCTGGGAGGGTCACCCTGCACAGTGTTGGAGCTCAAGTGAGAGCATCCCTGAGGGGTGAAAGACATAGGATGAGGAATCGAAGCCTGAACAAGGTCAGGAGGCACCCACACAGGAGCAGGACGTCCAGCTTTGGTTTTCAGAACCTGATGGGTTAAATCATCTGCAGAAGAGGTAGCCTGGCGCAGGTGCCTGAGAAAGGATGGGGTGAAGAGGGCATACGCTTGGAAGGGACGGCGGTGGAGGCAGCCCAGGGTGGAACGTTGCAACCCAAGTGGGAGTGAGGGGGACATGTGGGTAGGGGCAGGGGCGACAGGCTGGTTGCAAACAAGAAGACTGAACAAATAACTGATGATGGGAACCAGCTTCCTGTCAGAACGGGCATTAAAAATCAAAAGGGAGAAACTGGAGTGAACCATGTGGGACTGGATTGAAATGGAAGTATTGGTAAGAACTCCTGATTTTTTAATATATTTTTTTGCAGAACTACAAATTCATGTGCATGTATGTATGTGTCTATATGTATACACACGATTCCCTGCTGCTCACTGGGGGAGCCTATGAGCAATGACAACCCCAATAGCAATATGCACACCTACCACGGCTAGTGCCCAAATCTTAGTTTCTAAACATCACTCACCCCTAAAGCAGAATCGGGCTTTTATGAAAAATGGCTGATCCTAGGGCTGGGGCAGAAAACTGAGCTTGGGACATCTTGTCCAGAGAGCAAGGAAGTGCTCAAGGTATCGTGGGGACAAGTCAAAAGGACACGAAGTCGCTTGAAATGGCTACTGCTGGCCAAATCTGGGGGAAATTAGGCACCAAAATAATAAACGTTCCTTTCTCCCTCACTTGTTTGTTTGTTGGGTTTGGCTTTATGTATCTATCAATGTAGAAGGAATGACAGAGTAAGAATATCATTTGGCCACCAACATCATAATAATTGATTCATTCAGGAATCATCAATGGATGCTAAATTTACGGGGAGAAATTTTGAGATTTCGCCAAATATCTACAGAAACTCAAAGGACTTCCATGCAAAATATGTGTTAAATACAAAAGGGAAACAGCGGTTTACTGTGGGCAAACCTGGCAGACAGATCTCAAGCACATGGTCAAGCCAGCATTGCCGGGACCGGAGCCGAGCGTGTGCGGGGAGAGCGCCGCTCCGTGTGACCCGCTGCCCCGCGTGAGGAAACGCCACGCAAAACCGGCCTGAGCGCCCGCGGGGTAGCTCACTCACACCCTTCGAAAGGCGACTGTCAGGAAAAGCAAAGGAAGCCTACAGAATGTCCCGGATTAAAGGAGACTAAAAGGACAACCGGACACAACATCATCTTGCATTTTCTTTGACTATAAAGGATATTATTGAATCAACAGGAAAAATCTGAATAAGACCCAAGATTAAATATTAATACTGAACCAATTTTAATTCCCTGATTTTGATGATATACTACAGTTATGTAAGATAATTCCTTTTCCTTTGGAGAAGCACGCTGAAGTATTTAAAGAGGCATCATGTCTGCAACTTGCCAATGGTGCGTATGTTATATGTAACTACCCTGCGTTTATATTTAACTAGGTAATAGAGAAAGAATAAAGCAAATATAGTAAAGTGTTAACATTCAGGGAATGGTTTCCAGGACTTCTTTGTACTATTCATGTAACTTTTCTGTAAGACTGAAGCTGCCAGTACAGCATATTTCTAAGAGAAAAATAAATTTTACAAAATGATGTTAATGAATTATAACCCACTGAATAAAATACTGATAAGTGAATAAATCAGAAGTTTAATGAAGAAGAGCTATTTGCATAGTCTCTATAAAACCTCCCTATGGAACAGTTGATTGTGAAATGAAAAAGGCAACGTTACAGAGGAGAATCCCAGTAGACCCTGCCTTCGGTGATCAACACTAACATCACCAAAAGCAGCACAAATCAGAATTGTAGAGCGCATCGCAGGATAGATGAGAAGAGCACAGGACCAGTTCTGCAATGCTCTTGCTAAAAGAGTACAATATAAGTCTTATCATAAGGAAAAATCGGCAAATCCACATTGAAGGACACTCTATTACTGGAACTTACCCTTGAAGAGAGTCAAGGTCGTGAAAGTCAAGGGAAGACCAAGGACCTGTTCCAGACTGAAGGAGACAAATGGACACTACAGCTAAATGTAACCCAGGGATCTGAACAGGACCTTTTTGCTATAACAGATACTCCAGACAAGTGGTAAAATTGAAAAGAATATGAGGGTCAAGTAAGAGAATGCACGAGTGTTAGTTTTCTGGCTGTGAAGGTGGTATGGCAGGCAAGAGGGATGTACTAAAGGAATAGGGATAGTGGCTTAATGTCAGCAATTTACTCCCAAATGGGTCAAGGCAAAGAATTCTTTGTACTAAAACTTGAAACTTTCTCTAATTTTAAGACTGTTTCTAAAAAATAAGTCAAAAACCTCTATCTAAATCAATAGAAAAGTGGAAAAGCCTTAAGCAAACTTTATTTCCCCACGAGGAAAGCTTTATGAATCAGTGTTTAAAATTACATATTATAAGTCTAATGGTACTATAACAATTTTAATACATCCGATTGTTACACAGTACACCCAATTAGTAACCATAGCAGCAGATATCAAAATGATCTCTGTCTAAATCTTTAGGGCCAAATATAGTGATAAAATTGGAATATATAAAACATCTATCAATTAGCACCGCTAAAGTATGAATGACAAGTTGGTTGCTCGGCTGTGGTTTAAACAGCTGGTATTTAGGGAGTTTGACCACAGATAACTCAATAGTGCCGGCTTTCATTTACAAAATCTGTCTAAAACTTAGATGCCAAAAAAAAAAAAAAACCCACCCAGTTTAAAATACTATGTAAATTTTCATCATACACATATGATCCAAAAAAATTCTTTAATAAAGATTTCATGCCATGCATTTAATGGGAAGCAAATGTTATGTAAACAGTTCAGTAAATAAATTTTTACTATTTATATTTCAGATCATGTAATTTCTCTTCAGAATCTCTGTATATTCTTGTGATGTTTTCAAAAGTAGATCTTGACGGGAATTTGACTGATCAATTAATTCTACAGGACAAGCTCTATAGAATTCAGATTCAAATTTAGCAGCATCTGGAAAGAAAAACAATTACATGCTTTATCTAAACTACAACTAAGTATAAGTGTTAAGAAGAATGAAGACATCTATACATGACTACAATACACAGCGTAAGAATCCTATGAAATATCATTGGCCCGTGGCTGCACACTGGATTTAGTGGTATTGTGGCTAAGTATCAGAGCTTCTGCTTTTCTTGTCCTTCATTCGTTTACCCAACACCATGCCTAAGATGTATGACACGCACTGGAGTTACAAGGTGAAGATGACACAGCCCACCCCTGAACAATCATACACTAGAAACCAAAAAAAACAAGTGAACAGGCAATTTTTACTCAGAGCCACATACACGAGGACACACAGAACACAGGGCACTGTCAGAGCACACAGAGGGGACATCCCAGCTTTGTGCCAATATTGTCAGCTTTTTGGTGGAAGTGATAGGTAAGTTGATACCCGAAGGACACACACACAAACAACAGAACGCCAGAAAGAGAAATGAAGCAGATGCCAGGACAAGAGGCGAGGAAGAGCATTTGTGGAGCTAGATACAGTCTAGTTTGGCTAGATGCTAGAGCAAAGGGACAGAGGAGGGCAAGGAGCTAAGACAAGGCTGAATTATTTGGTAAGAACTAAGTGCATTTCAGTGTTTTTGCTCCATGCAAAGGAATTTGGAGTTTTTCCTGGGGGTAAAAAGTAGAAGAATGACAAAGTCAATGGCCGGAGTTTTAAATATCACCCGTCAGGTGACAGCTCTACGAACTGAGTATCCCGAGCGGAGCCCGCTTCTTCGGCCTTGGTCACTAGCAGAAGCAGGAGCGGGTGAAGCCCAGTGTCCTGCCAACAGCTTCAGCGCGCAGGCTGCCAGTTTCACAGGCACCGCAGAAGGAAGGAAGGGAACAGCCAGAAATAAAAAGGAAACATGGGCCTCTGAGATCTTAAAAAGCTATGGGACGTGATGATGATTACATGCAGAATAAGCATGTTCTTCCTTATGTTTACACTTTCACATTTTTCATTCACTATGTAAAGAAAATATTTAATGCAGTATATATTATCCAAACATGGAAACGGATGTCATTTACTATTTACAGTTTACTTCAAAAATCAATGATACCTAAAGTTATTAATAAATTTTGGCAACATACCTTCTTTTAGTTCTCTAGTTAGTGTTTCTTCAAACTCCTGCCGCATCTGAAACAGGTCAAATATTATTTTTAGTATTTAAGTTAAATAAGAGACATTATTATAGGAATGGTATGTAGCTTATGAAATATGTCCTTTAAGTAATACTTTTAGAAACTAGAGCTAACTTGGGGATTGTGTAAATAGAAAAATAATCACGTAAATAAAATTAATTCATACTTTAAAAATTTTAGATAATAGGCAATATGCATGTGTAATGCTATTTAATCTGATAAAAATACAATTAATATTGGTCTATTGAATAAACATAACTTCAGAAAAGTGGTATTTGATCCCATTGGTTCAAAGAAGTTTAAACAAGTCAAGTCATATATCACACTGGGTGCTTTACTTTGCAGTTCTAAGAAAAACTGCCATTTATAAAAGTTTAGGGTTTGGGGTTTTTTTACCTAAATAGATTTTTTTCTTAAAATGAGCTTTCTATACTTATACTTTTAGAAAATTAAAATCTTAAGGTACATTCTATGCTATTAATTTTTCATCCTATAATGACAAAAGTGCTACTGTCCTAAGGTCATGTAAAAATTCTGCTGGAGCCTGGACAGTGTGGCTCAGTGGTTGAGCCTCGACCTAAGATCCAGGCGATCAGGGTTTGACTCCCGGTCAGGAGGTGTTCAGGAAGCAGCCGATCAATGACTCTCTCATCATTGATGTTTCCATCTCTCCCTCTCCCTTCCTGTCTCTGAAATCAATTTAAAAAACAAAACAAAAAAACATATCAAAAAACTCTACTGGGGAAAAATAAGTAAATCTATTTTACTGTCTGTATTATTACTGAAACACTTCTTTATTCATATGGACACAAAGATTTCAGAAAATACTTGATCTGAGAAACAAAACAATTTAATATATAATTCTTTAATTGTAACTTTGTTTCCTTTCTAGAAATTAGGGCTAAATTTGGAAACATTCAACCAATTATAATTATAGTCTACTTAATTATGAAATGTGTGGGTATATTTCAAATTATATTAGAAGTGTCCTGATCTAGAGTGGTGTTACTTAAACCTTTCTTATAATAAGTATTCTCTCACTAAATGCCCAAAACATGGTTTAAAATACTATGCTGAACATAAAACACTGCGGTGATCATGATAATGTGATACCCAATGCCTTTACAAATTATAGGCATGAAGACTAATTTGTTGACCAACATGTTCCCCAGTGTTTTCAGAGGCTGTTTTCCATAACACTTTTTTGACAATGGCATGATAGGCAGGCTTATTAAATGGATAATGTGACAACAACACTAATAGACAGACCTTGTAAAATAAATAAGTGACAGATAAAAAAAAGAGGCCTTTATTGAATCAATTTCATGTTACCCTTAGTAAAATATATATTATGTAAATCACTTTTTTATCCAACTTGAATTAAGAAATTACCAATGTAACATTATTATCTTTTCCCCCCAAAGGCTCTTTTTCTAAATATTTACTTCTGTGATGTTTATGCTTATTTCTAGGTGAGGATTGTGTTCAGACGGTAGAAGTAGCTTGAAGCCCAATGTTAATATGGAGAACACATCTGCAATTTTATTTATATTGTACCATTTTCAAAATATAGAAAGGTGGGAAAACTATGCACATAAAAACAATGTATCAGCAACTTTCAATTCAAAGGATTTGTAATTACAGGGATTTTCTCAAAACTGGTAGTTCTCAAAGTATGTGCCATAAGAATCTGTTTCCACTGGGGGCACTTGCAGGATTACAGAACTTCAGAGTCTTCATCCCTCCTTTAGCTAGACAGCTTTATTTGTCTGTCTTATATAAAATAGTTTCAAGCAAAATTAAAAAATAAAAGTTCTAGTCTTTGAAAAAAAATGTAAGGTGTGAAAATCACTGATTTAGTCCAAGTTCCTAATGGTATCTAAGAGGCCACAAAGGCTCAGAGAGATTATAGATTGCCTGAGGTCACAAAACCAATGAGCTGCAGGCCAAAAATGGGCCGTAAGTCTTCTTACTGAGGGTAGGGTTTTATGCCAGCTACTTCCTCATATTCAGGATAAATACATAGATTTTTAATTGTAACTCAGGGAAAATCAGTATGTAAGACTGTCATATAGCTCAATAATGTTTTGGCATGAGACACAAAATAGTAGTTTTCTAACTAAATTATAAGTTTTAAAGTCATGAATAAAAATAAAGGAACAGAAATTAATGTAAGTCCTATTACTAGCAGTCAATATGCTCAATTTATAAAGTGCAAATTTTTTTTAAGCACAGGACAAGAAACTTGAAGGAGAAAACCTTAAGTTAAACTGAGCAAGCTGAAACTGAGGAAATTCTTCCTTAAAAGAACTGTTCATTCCCTCCAAATAAAACTTGGTTTACCAAAATCAATCAATAAATGAATTATCTGTGTTGGGGGTTATCTATAGCAAAATTAAAACCCAAAACAGTTTCCTCTTTATCATCTAGCATACTTCTGTCCCACCTCTCTCATCCTGAGTTGGTATGTACAAAAGACATGAGCTTAATTTCAATTGTGATTTAACCCCATCAGAAATTATAGGAGCACCTTCATTTCTCCATCCCCCAGTGTCCACATGAGGACTTAGACTCTCTCTACCTTCCTTATGAGCGGAGGGGCGATTTACCTAAGGCGTGCACTTGAGGAAAGGAGCTGAGAATGCTTGCTGGTTTCCAAAGCTCTTCTTTGAGATGTGTCTGCCCACAGTAACATGAGTTCCTGCCAGCTCCCATCTCTGCAGGAAGCAGCCTGCCCAGGGACAGGCGTCAAGCATTTCTTTCCTCCACTTACAACTGGGTGTGAAGCTGCCTAATTTGGGATACGCATTCAGAAGCCCACTGTGGCCACACATCTAACCACACATCTAAACCACATCTTCTGAGCCCTACTATGCGTCAGGAACCAAGCTAGTAAGTTCATCTCCACCTGCCTGACTGCGTGTTCTGATCTCAGAGGGGAGAGGGCTGTCACTGGCCGCCTACCCCACCGCAGCTCCAACAAGAAAGATGACTCCGCAACACTTACAGAAATGTTTTCTTCTTCCCTGACTTTATACTTAATGTCCAAAACAACCCCCCCTTTAAAGAGGGGAAAGTTATATTTTAGAAAGAGAAATGTAGAGAAGCCAAGAAAATAGCAAAGCACAACAAATACAAATGTATGTTCATTCATTTAACACTAATTTATTGACAGGCTACTATTAAATTATATTTGAGATTTCAGGTTGAAAAATAATGTTGTATTCTCTTTTTGAGACCAATTTGATAAACACATACAAACTGCATGCACATACACATTTCCAAATTTAATATATATCTGGTAACTATTGATACTTTTAATTTAAAATTTGATATCCTTAAGTGTTATGGAAATAAATATAATATAAAATGCAATAAAATCAAGTACATTTGCCCATTTAAACCATTGCAATTCATTATCCAACTGTAAACAGGTTAATGTACAAAGTGAATACAGTTATCAGTTTATAAATACTAAAAATATGTATTTTGCTGCAGAGAAAAGAACTGAGGAAAAGTTTGTTGGCCAAGGAACTAAAAAGTTAAGTGCAAAGAAAAAAAAAAATGAATTAAAAATAGAATAGGAAGAAGTTGAGCAATTATCTGTATCCTTCAAAAAATATAATGACTACGGGGCAATTGTCTAAGTGGACAAAATAAAGTGAAGAAATGAGGAATTATATAGAGCATATAATTGATACAATAAGCAAGTTTATTAAACTTGGCTCTGCCTTATGAGAAACTAGCATAACCGCTGTGATAGTTTGAGTACAGTTAAAATTCAGAGTAGAAAAGCACTGCCTTGGTGATGTAAACATGAGGCCTGTTTTTAGTCGGAAAGAACTCAACGTTCTGTAGACACACAATGCTCTGTGTGCCATGTACAAAGTTAAAGTCTTAGGAATATGAACTGTTTTGGCTTTCATGTATTTGTATAGAAACAGTTGCTAAACTGAATACACACTTGAGAAATGTCAAAAAAAATAATCATTAGAAATTTTCTGACTGTCGGGAATAGAACAAAACTCCAAAATCAGTGTAAAATTGCATCTTCCTACTTATTTAACACAGAGTTAATGGACACTGAGGGACTGTCATGATGTGCATTGTGTTAGGAACAACACAAATACTGAAAAACACTTAAACATAAAAACTTTTGAAGCCAGAGAAATTCCATCTGTTATAAAATTGTCTGGAATAAAATTTTAAGTTTTCAGTTCTAAGAAAAAAATTCTAGCCCAGCCTGTGTGGCTCAGTGGCTGAGTGTCAACCCAGGAACCAAGTGATCACAGTTCAATTCCCGGTCAGGGCACATGCCCAGGTTTCGGGCTCCATCCCCAGTGAGGGGCGTGCAGGAGGCAGTTGATCAATGACTCTCTCATTGATGTTTCTCTCTCTCTATTCCTCTCCCTTCCTCTCTCTAAAAATCAATAAAACCATATTAAAAAAAGAAAAAAAATTACATGCAAGAAAATCTAGTGATTTATCTGTTCAAACTAATTTTAACTTTTGCATTTTATCATAATATCACTAAATAACAAGTTGAATAAAACTGTAAAATTACTTTTGATGTATTGGAAAAATATCTCAGAATTAAACTAGAATGTGAAAACTAAAGGTAAGAATTAGCAAAACAGATATGTAGTGACGTGTACCAGTACAAAGAATCAACCGGGCACGGCTAACCTTCATGTAATGGTGAGAGGCGGCAAGCCTTATGATCACTAATGCGGGGAGAGTGGAAATCACAGATTAGAGCTGTATTTATTATTGTCCTTATTGTGTTAGAAGAACAATGCTGAACAAGGCCGAACTTCACAGTAGGAACAGTCCAAATGTTAAGACCTTGCAAATAAAGGGGACTGATAAACTCAGTATTGATGCTGTTTTTCACATTTTACTCTCTAGAATCACAGCTTAAAAATCTTGAGAAGTCTGTTGTTTTATAATACCCCTTCCCAAAACCCACCCTTTTCTATCAATTTAGACAGCATGTTACCACCTCTCATAGAATTAGTTGTTTTCCTAGTGGCAATAATTAAATTCCCAGCAACTCTAGAAGACCCCTCCTTTCCGCAAGTCTAAGAATTCCATGAACAACTCTATATTGAGTCTTCCCAGGCATTCTGCAGAAATTTTGGCTACCTATCTCTGTATCTTGATAGACTGGTGCTTCTTTCTCTTATGAAGTCTAGCATGATTTGGTGAACCCATGCCACACAAGGGAACTAGGTATACCTTGGAATCACAATGCTAAGTTTAAAATAAATGATTTTTTTTCAACTTATCTAGAAATACTAAAAAATAAAAACCTCTTTCCTCCAAAAATATTAACAGAAAATTTTCCTACAAAAATCTCTTGTGTTGCTTCTTCTCTTGTGTTCATAGACTTTCATCTTCATCTTGTAAAATGAGACATTATCTGATTTTTTTCTAGTGAGAACTAATGAGAATCTTTCAAGTTTGCATCAGAAGCTTAGTTAAGAGTTTACAGAAGTATGTCACATTTTCTTTTTGTGCCCAATAGTCTAGTTTCACAAATCTGAAGCACTTAGAGCCTATTTGGCCAAAAGGCTATCTAAAATCCCTTAGCTTTGCTCTTCTATAATGCGTTATGATTAAGCCAAATGAACAAAGTTGAAGCCTCACTTAGCACAGGCCTATGCTATTTTTCTCTGCATTAAGAAGAATATAAAAACATCATGAAAACCATAAGCCAATGTGCACAGAGTGTGACATCAGCATCATGGCAAAGTGAGACACCCTTTTTGTATCTCCCCTTAAATCTACAACTAGTCAGATATCTAGAACCCAACAAAGTTTCCTCTGCCCAGCACAGTGATAGGTCCACACACCAGTACCTTGAAAGTGGAAGTACAGGAATGTGTCGGGGAGGCAGGATTTGGGGAAGAACAGGGACAGACCCAAACTGCAGTTTTCCAAGGACAAGGCTGAACCTACAGCCCCAGCAAACACAGAGTAGGGGTGCAGCCCCCACACCACAGACCAGCAGAGGGCAAAAGTCCAGCAGCACCCCCCCCCCC